TATTCTGTTGTTCTATATTTTACATTCTATTCTATTCTGTTCTATATTTTACATTTTATTCTAGTCTGTTGTTCTATATTTTACATTCTATTCTATTGTTCTATATTCTACCTTCTATTCTATATTTTACATTCTATTCTATTCTATTCTATTCTGTTGTTCTATATTTTACATTCTATTCTATTCTGTTCTATATTTTATATTTTATTCTAGTCTGTTGTTCTATATTTTACATTCTATTCTATTGTTCTATATTCTACCTTCTATTCTATTCTATATTTTAGATTCTATTCTATTCTATTCTGTTATTCTATATTTTACATTCTATTCTATTCTGTTCTATATTTTACATTCTATTCTATATTTTACATTCTACTCTATTCTATTCTGTTGTTCTATATTTTACATTCTATTCTATTCTGTTCTATATTTTACATTCTATTCTATTGTTCTATATTCTACCTTCTTTTCTATTCTATATTTTACATTCTATTCTATTCTGTTGTTCTATATTTTACATTTATTCTATTCTGTTCTGTTCTATATTTTACATTTTATTCTAGTCTGCTGTTCTATATTTTACATTCTATTCTATTCTATATTTTACATTGTACTCTATTCTATTCTATTCTGTTGTTATACATTCTACCTTCTATTCTATTCTATATTTTACATTCTATTCTATTGTATGCCAAAAAGCCCCAACAGGGCCGTTCCCCCCCCCCCACCCCCAGACACACACCTGGGACTCCGCCTGCACAAGGCGCAGCGCCTTGAAATAGTTGCTGTTTGTGCTGCGCGCGTTGTATTCCTCCACGGCGAAGACGGCGGCTTCCTGCACTTCGGGGTCCGTGACGTCTCGGGGGGAAAGACCCCCGGGCATGCTCGCCGGCAGCACCGAGGGCAGCAGCAGGAGGAGGCAGAGAGAGGCCGGGACAGGCAGCCGGGAGTGCATTATGGGGCTGGCAGGCAGGTTAGCAGAGCGAGCAAACCCAACCGCCGCTCCGGAGCAGACTTGACGCAGCTGTGCGGGATCTTCAGCAGCGGCTGCCAGTCACCTGCCCGAGGCCCCGCCCATTCCCCAGAAGCCCCGCCCCCGCTGGCTGCTCCTTCGCCCGCGGCTGCTCCGCCTCCGCGTGGAAGCTCAACCAATCCGAATAGAGCCGGGAAGGAAAGCAAAGGATATTTTGCTGGGTGCAAAAAAAAAAAAAAAGATGTGTGGACTTCAACTCCCAGAATTCCACAGTCTTAAAGTGGCCAAGGTTGAAGAGCCGGGCTTTAAAAAAAAAAAAATGAGATTTTCTGAGTTTGTCTGAAATGGTATGGGCAATCTTGGCTCTTTTATGACTCGTGGACTTCAACTCCCAGAATTCCTCAGCCAGCATGGGAGAACTATGGCCCCTTCATGACTCGTGGACTTCAACTCCCAGAATTCCTCAGCCAGCCTGGCTCAGCTTGGAAAGCTCTCCCTGCCCCTTCAGCGTGGCTGGCTCAGGAATTCTGGGAGCTGAAGTCCACGAGTCATAAAAGAGCCAAGATGGCCTACCCCTGTCCTAAGTCCTCCTGTTCTAAGCGGTGAGCCTCCTAGACCAGGGGTAGGCAACCTTGGGCCCTTCATGACTCATGGACTTCAACTCCCAGAATTCCTGAGCCAGCATGGCTCAGCTTGGAAACTTCTCCCTTTCCCCTCAGCACGGCTGGCTCAGGAATTCTGGGAGTTGAAGTCCACGAGTCATAAAAGAGCCAAGGTTGCCTACCCCTGGTATAGGGTTTCCTGCCTGAGCAGGGGGTTGGACTAGATGACCTCCAAGGTCCCTTACATCATCATCATTATTATTATTATTAATCTTTTATTCATTAAACATAAACCTCAGTCAACTGAACGTTCAAATTGGCTGGCGCTGATGGTTGACACGGGTTGCGACCAGCATCCTAGGTGTCAACCAGGCACCTCCTTAAAATATAAGATGTTCCAAGTACCGCAGTTTTTTGTAGCATTACTGGAGTCATTGCAGGAAGCTGCAGTTTCTTGATGTATTTTGCAAAGTTTTGGGACATAGTTCCCAGTGCCCTGATGACAATAGGTGTCACTGTTACACGTTGCATCCATAATTGCGCAATTTCAATGGCCAGGTCACGATATTTGGTAATATTTTCCAGTTCTTTTTCTTCGACTTTGGCATCTCCTGGTACAGCGATATCAGTCAGCTGTACGCTTCGGTTCTCTACAACTGCGATATCTGCCGTGCTGTGTTCCAAATGGCGATCTGTCTATATTCAAAAGTCTCACAAGATCTTCACCACATTATTATTATTATGGATCATCGCACAATCAGCCAGATGTTCAGACTGGATTTGGCATTTTGTCTACCTATCAAGTCCTTACCCAGGACCTGGGATAGGCAGATGTGGATGTCTGAGGGTATTACAGATATCGTCGCAGGATGGAAGCAGTTCCTAGTAAGGCCGCCTTTTGCAATTGACTAATAGCGAATTTGTCAATGCCAATGGTGTTCAAGTGGTGCTCCAATTGTTTATTATTATTTATTTATTTATTTATGAGACTTATATACTGCTTTAAGTGCAAGCACTCTCTAAGCGGTGTACACCGTAAGCAGTGTGTGTGTGTGTGTGTGTGTATACACACACACACACACACACACATTGCCCCCAACAATCTGGGTCGTCATTTTACCTACCTTGGAAGGATGGAAGGCTGAGTCAACCTTGAGCCGGTGAGATTTGAACCGCTGACCTGCTGAACACAGTTAGCTAAAGTGGCCTGCAGTACTGCACTCTAACTGCTGCGCCACCTTGGCTATTGTTGTTGTTGTTGTAATAACAATAAGGAAATGAGATATCAAAATGCAGCATAGAGATGAAGAAAAATAAATAAAATACAATCAAGAGCCGTGGTGCCGCTGTGGTTAGGATGCAGTATTGCAGGCTGGCTCTGTCCACAGTCAGGAGTTCGATCCTGACCAGCTCAAGGTTGACTCAGCCTTCCAGCCTTTTGAGGTCAGTAAAATGAGGACCCAGATTGTTGGAGGGAGGGGGGCAAGACTCTGTAAACCGCTTAGAGCAGGACTTTTCAACCTTTTCACAGATTGTACCGCTTTTAGGACATGACAATATTTGAGTACCACCAAATTATCGTGAACCTATCTCCTAAAGTGCTGGCTACTCCCACCAACTTGGTGTCTTCTGAAAATCTGATGAGTTCCCCTTCTATCCCCTCACCCAGGTCGTTCATCACTGATGGAAAAGAGATTTCTTTTCCATGTATTTTAAACCGATAATGGATGGAAACTGATCAAGGAGAGATTCAACCTAGAAATAAAGAGAAATCTTCAGACCGTTGCCTTCAGAAGTTGTGGGAGCTTCATCACTGGAGACTTTCAAGAAAAGACTGGACTGCCATCTGGCGGATATGGTGTAAGGTCTCCTACTTGGGCAGGGGGGTTGGACTAGATGACCTACAAGGTCCCTTCCAACTCTTGTCTATTCTATTCTTTTCTATTCTATTCATTATTCTATTCTTTTATGTTCTATTCTATTCTATCCCATAATTCTATTCTATTTCATTTCTATATTTCTATTCTATTTTATCCTATCCCATAATTCTATTCTATTCCATATTATTCTATCTTATTCTATTCCATTCCATATTATTCTATTCTGTTCTATTCTATATTTCTATTCTATTTGTTCTATTCTATCCCATAATTCTATTTTATTCCATATTATTCTATTCTATTCTATATTTCTATTCTATATTTCTATTCTATTCTATATTTCTATTCTATTCTATTCTATTCCATTCCATATTCTATTCCATTCCATATTCTATTCTATTCTATTCTATTCTATTCTATTCTATTCTATTCTATTCTATTCTATTCTATTCCATTCCATTCCATTCCATTCCATTCCATTCACTATTCTATTCTATTCAGATCAAAACACCCTGACTGCATCTTCCCAGAGCTGATCTCAGCCAGGCTGGCACCATGAACAAGGGTGGGACACTCAAACCTCTGCCCTTTTGGATTCCCAGCTTGGCGTTTTATTTATTTTTAATTACATCTTCAGTATATAGTTTAATGAAGAGAAGGACAAGGGGGGGACATGATAGCAGTCTTTCAATATCTCAGGGGCTGCCCCAAAGAAGAGGGAGTCAAGCTATTCTCCAAAGCGCCTGAAGGCAGGACAAGAAGCAACGGATGGAAACTAATCAAGGAGAGAAGCAACCTGGAACTAAAGAGAAACTTCCTGACAGTGAGAACAATTAATCAGTGGAACAACCTGCCTCCAGAAGCGGTGAATGCTCCAATACTGGAAGTTTTTAAGAAGAGACTGGACAGCCATTTGTCCGAAATGGTATAGGGTTTCCTGCCTGAACAGAGGGTTCGACTAGATGACCTCCAAGGTCCCTTTCAACTCATTCTATTCTATTCTATTCTACTCTACTCTATTCTATTCTATTCTATTCTATTCCATATTTTCTATTCTATTCTATTCTATTCTAATTCTATTCCATTCCACATTTTCTATTCTATTCTATTCTACTATTCTATTCTATTCTATTCTATTCTATTCCATTCCATATTTTCTATTCTATTCTATTCTATTCTATTCCATATTTTCTATTCTATTCTATTCTATTCCATATTTTCTATTCTATTCTAATTCTATTCCATTCCACATTTTCTATTCTATTCTATTCTATTCTATTCCATATTTTCTATTCTATTCTATTCTATTCTAATTCTATTCTAATTCTATTCCATTCCACATTTTCTATTCTATTCTATTCTATTCTTTTAAACTTACTTCCAATATATATCCAATATATTCACTTGCCTAGAATGTATTTCTCTTTAAGGTACTGTTCATCCTAGGCAGACGGAATGAGAAAGAGGAGGAAGGGGATTTAAAAAAAAAGAGAAAAATCTGCCATGGCAGATTGGGAGGATCCCTCCGGAAGAGATAGCAAGCAATTCTGGCTTTTGACCTCTTTATTGGTCCGACGTTTCCTCTCCCAGGGATGAGAGCTTCTTCTTTGCCCAATCCTTTTTGATCGAGGAAAGCGGGTCTCAAATGGAGAAGACACGGGGTGGGGAGCTGGCTCGGAGGAAAAACAGCCTTTCCCCACCCCCCCACCCCTTTAAAACCGGGAAAAGTTCTCAGTTGGCCAAGAAGGATCCTGCATGAGCTGAGCTGCCCCTTCCTTCTCCGGCTTCTGCCAACCTCCCCTGGATGAGGACAGTGTCCGGTCCGAAGGGCCCCTCAATTCTTCTTGGTCTTGGGGGTGTCGTACTTCCGCTTACTCGAGTACCACAGCAGCAACGGGATGCCGATGGAGGGCAGCGTCATGACGCCAAAGGCTGCCCAGTCCAGCTTGACAAAGAGATGGAAGCAAAGGAGTGAGCGGGAGGGAAACTGAGGCCAGCCCACCCCCCCCCCCATGCCTGGCATCAGCAGAGACCGCTCCGGGGAGGACCATTCACCCACAACCGGGTCCGGAGGAGGAGGAAGAGGAGGAGAACAATGAATAGGGGTCCTTGGTGCTCTCTGAGCTTAGTTGTTTTCTTGCAGACGTTTCATGACCCAACTAGGTAATGCTAGAAGGGAGGGGGCTTGGAGGAGGAGGAGGAGGAGGAGGAGGAGGAGGAGGAGGAGGAGGAGGAGGAGGAGAGATTAGAACTGGGGCCATCCGACAGGGATGGCACATCTCTCCTGGAATGTCTAGAGAGTCCAGGGCTGAGGAGGATGCTGTCCCACATCCCTCTGGCCCTGGAGGAAGTGGTCAGCTGGGATGGGCAGCAAAAAATGTAAACTACAGTCACATGAGTGCAGGACCCTGCAAACAGCCGTAAACGCGGGGCAGTTGCCAAGCGGTCGAAATGTGCTTGTGTGCGTGTGTATGTGTGGCCTTCGGAACCTTGACTCTGGATCATAAGTAGCCCTAGGAAGGGCTGTTGTAACTTCAAACGGTCGTTAAACCATCAGTCATACGTTGGGGACTACCTGGACTCAACGTTATTCCCAACTACGGAAATTAGGAGTGCAAATCAGATTACTTACAAAATGTGGGGAAAACCTCCTGTCGAATTCTCGCTGGGCCAGGATCCCTCCTTGCCCTGGGGCACTGGTGAAGCCGACCTAGCCAAAAAAAAAAAAAAAAAAAATTAAGGAGGGGGTGTCTTGATTTGTGGGGCACACCGGAGGCCAGGACCCCAAAACTCTGTCCTCAGATCATCAAAGAGCCCGAGATCCCTATGCCCCAATCTCACTGATCTGCTTCCCTTGTATTACTTCATCAACACACTATGGGTTAACACTATGGTTCAGTCCGAGCTGGGAATAAACAACATGATGACTGCTTTAGAAGGATGGTTGCAGTTTATTGAAGAGGAGAGCCAGACAGAAAGACGGCTCTGGAAGAAAAGAGCGAGAGCACATGTAGGGAGTGGGTTTTTATACCCTCTGGGGCTCTTGAGGTTGTTTCCTGTTCCTGTTGGAGGCTTTGTATTTCCTGTGTCATGTATTTTGACCTGTGTCCCTTTGGCATCTGTGGGTTAATCCTATTATGTCCTGTCTTAAAGTTTAGGTGGGATATGTAGATTTTAGGTGTCTTTTATCTTCTTAATCTTCTAGTTAGGGGCCTCCAACCTTCCAACTGCCAGCTCGATTTAGGATAACAGTGGGGCATAATTTGAAAAAAAAAATGAAAGACCAATTAACCCTGTTTTCTTTGCAGGACAAAAAACAGCTAAAAGAAAGCTTATTCTTGGAATTGGGAAAGATCCTGTTTAAGAGAGACAGAGAATCTGTGCTGAAGGATTACAACGTCCAGCATCGCTTACTCTTAGTCACATGGGGCTGCTGGGAAATGTAGTTTAGCACCATTTGGAGTGTACTCTTCATATACAAAAAAATCGAATATGCTGGTCTAGAAACAGGCATAATCCATTCAATAACACACCCACACCCAAATTCTGTGAATTCAGCATGCAAATGTTGGAGGAATCCAAAATAAGATTAACAATCATCAACCCAGTTATTTACTTAACAGCCCAATGAGCTTCCTAGAGCAGAGGTCTCCAACCTTGGCGACTTTAAGATTCGTGGACTTCAGCTCCCAGAATTCCCTCGCCAGCCAAACTAGCTGAGGAATTCTTGAAGTCCACAAGTTGAAGTCCACAAGTCTTAAAGTCGCCAAGGTTGGAGACCCCTGTCCAAGAGCACTGTGGGTGAAGACCGAGCATGCATATAACCCTTTCCAAGTTCCATGCACTAATGACAGAATTAGGGTAAGAAATGGCCGTTGGTAACTTCAAATACTGCGCTCTCATAATATTGTAACATCAAATTTCAGAAATAAAGGCTAGGTCAGAGGTAGGCCACCTTGGCTCTTTTATGACTCGTGGACTTCAACTCCCAGAATTCCTGAGCCAGCCATGCTGAGGGGAAAGGGAGAGGTTTCCAAGCTGAGCCAGGCTGGCTCAGGAATTGTGGGAGTTGAAGTCCACGAGTCATGAAGGGGCCATAGTTCTCCCATGCTGGCTCAGGAATTCTGGGAGTTGAAGTCCACAAGTCATGAAGGAGCCATAGTTCCCCCATGCTGGCTCAGGAATTCTGGGAGTTGAAGTCCACGAGTCATAAAAGAGCCAAGGTTGCCTATCCCTGGGTTAGGTAAAGGAATCCTTGTGGATTTTACTCTGCTAGTTGTTGCCGACTATAGAGGACGGTGTTCATCTGTTGCAAGACCATTGAGCCAGCACTGTCTGAAGACATTTCCGCAATCATGTGGCCAACATGACATCACCAACTGCTGTTACCTTCCCACCAAAGTGGTACCTATTTATTTACTCGCGTTTACATACTTTCAAACTCTAGGTTGGCAAGAGCTGGGGTAAGGACGGGAGCTCACTCCATCGCGTGGCGCTCGGGTCTTGAAGCAGGGCTGCCAGCTTTCCAGCTGAGAAACCCAGCGTCTTAACCGCTGAGCCACGGCGATGCCCCAATTTCAGGAATATTCGAATAAATATTGCCTTAAAAGTTACTAATTTAATAAGTGCGCGCCGGCAGACCCTGGCCCCAGGCCAAGGCACCTGTGACTTACCACCACCTGTCCCCCCTCCTGCACCAGGTACGTGATTGTAGCTGATGTGAAGTTGAAGTAGCCAGCCTTCAGCGGCCTGAGGACCACAGTGTGGGACACGTTGCTGGCCCTGAGTACGTCGACACTAAGGAAGCCAAACACAGATGGGAAAGCAGCAGGAAAAAAAAAACACGTTGAGATACAGGTAGATGACCACCTGATAAGGGAGCAATCCAAATTCTGAAGCACTCTATGAATGAGAGGTCAGACGAGGAGACTTGAACTGATTGGCAGCCTCTCATTGCAATGAGCAAGGACACACATTCAATTTTGCAGCTACTAAGATTGTTGGCTGAGCAGGGACAAAAACAGCCAGGGAATTGATTGAAGGCTGGGAAAAATGGGCCCTTAGTCAGTCAACCGGGGTTGCTGATTTACTCCCAGCTTATCAAGGACTTAGGAGGGGAGGGCTTGGAAGCACAAGGAAACAACAGCCAACCACTTAAAAGCCAGCCATCAACATACCCCAACCAACCTCTAAAAAGCTTCATACAACAGGCACTATAAATATCACGCACAGCACAGCACACACTCTGCTAGCGACAAGTTTGCTATTTGCAACTATCCCTACCAGCTTTCCCAGAAAGGAAAGGAGGGGCATCCCTGCGGATTTTACTCTGCTAATCGTTGCTGACTTGAGAGGCTGGCGCTCATCTTCGTTTCAAGGCCGTGAGCCTGCGCTGTCCGAAGACATTTCTGCGGTCTTTTGTGGCCAGCATGACATGGCAGAGCATTATTTCCTCCCCACTGAAGTGGTACCTATTTATCTACTCACGTTTGCCTGCTTCCGAATTGCCCGATGAGCAGGAGCTAGGCCAGGGGTAGGCAACCTTGGCTCTTTTATGACTTGTGGACTTCAACTCCCAGAATTCCTGAGCCAGCATGGGGGAACTATGGCCCCTTCATGACTCGTGGACTTCAACTCCCAGAATTCCTGAGCCAGCCATGCTGAGAGGAAAGGGAGAGGTTTCCAAGCTGAGCCATGCTGGCTCAGGAATTCTGGGAGTTGAAGTCCACGAGTCGTAAAAGAGCCAAGGTTGCTTACCCCTGGCCTAGGCGAAAATGGCCACTCAACCCCATCGCACAATGTTGTAGTCTCAAACTCGGATTGTCAGCTTTCCGGATGACAAGCCCACCGCCTTAATCACCTTGCTGCTTTTTCCCCACAGAAAGCCAGTGGGGAATCTGGCAGGTAAGTGCCTTCCATCCACACACGCTCTGTGACTTACACGGCACCTCTTGCACATACACATCCTTCCGCGCCCCCCTCCCAGTATTCTTGCAATAACTTCAACCAGGCTGGGAAAACATGCTACAGACCCTGTCAAAAAAAAAAAAAATTGACCGGCAGGGTCTAAGAAGAGGGCGTTCTCTGTCGCCACCCCTGCTTTGTGGAACAGAGGTGAGGAAAGCCCCCAATTTCTTGGCCTTCCGCAAATAGGTCAAAACCTGGTTCTGCAACCTTGGGGGGGGGGCAGCACAGAGGACCTCAGAACTGAGGCTGGCTGAATGGACATGCTAATTGACGCTCGCACACGTCGTCAATTAGCGAGAGTAAATCAGCAGCAGTCAATACGGCAACTCCAGGGTAAAAGGAGAAGGCACTGAGAGGTAATGCCTTGGGACTGCTGTATAAAAAGAGGAGGTGTGGACGGTGCTGGCTGCTGAAGGCAACCGTTTGCAAAGTACTTCTTGGGATCCTGGTTTGTTCGTCTTGCTTGTGACTACTCTTCTGTTTGCATCATGTTTCCTGTGAATTATTTCCTTCCTTTGGATTGAGTTTTGCTGTTTGTGTTTTGGACTATTTGGCAGGTTTGTCACCCCTATTAAAAGGGGTTTGTTTTGTTTTAAAGTCTCCAGCCTATTTTATCAACAGGGGTTTGGTCCTTGTGCCTTTAACAAGGACGGCTATAGGCTGGGATAGAACAACACCCAACCCAACCTGCACAGCACCTCTTGGCTGTTGCACACCCTCCCTGAGCTATGTGGTGCCTCTCGTATATTTGGCTGCTTTTACGAACCACCCAGAGTCAGATGTCATCCAAAGAGACTCAGATAAATGCAAACCCATCGATCAGATCAAGGCCCTTTGAAAAAAGGATACGGTGCAATTCTGTCCCACTTCACGTTGAGCATCCCGGAGACGATGCCAAAATCTGCTGGAGGGAAGGAATCATCCGACAATTCAACTTCTAAGGCAGCGCTACACACCCAAGCAGGGAAAGAGGGAACAACAGGAACAAAGCCTTACATCCAGTCCTTGACTTATGACCACAATTGCACTCAACATTTCTGCTGCTAAGTGAGACAGCTGTTAAAGTGAACTTTGCCCCGTTTTACGGCCTTTCTTGCCGCAAATTGTGAAGTGAATCACATCCGTCGCTAAGCGAGTCACACGGTGGTTAAGCGAATCTGGCTTCCCCCACGGATTTTGCTTGTTGGATGGTCGCAAAAGGGGATCACGTGACCCTGGGACGCTGCCACGGTCATAAATACGAGTCAGTTGTCAAACGGCTGAATTCTGATCACGTGACCCTGAGGATGCTGCAACGGTCGTAAGTGTGAAAAACGGTCCTAAGTCACTTTTTTCAGTGGCGTCGTAACTTCGGTCGCTAAATGAACTGTGTTGTAAGTCGAGGACTACTTGTATTTCATGAGCTGACAGATGAGAAGGTGAAGTTGGGGCGGACGCTGCAACCTGAGCTGCCCCTCTTTATTTCTTCAAGACTGAACGGAGTTTTCATCCCAAAACTGGGACTTGATGAATTAAGTGTGCAAAGCAATGGAGGTCTTCCAATTGCGGCCGTAAGTCATGACGGCCATAAAGCAGGTCACTGTGTGACCGACCTGATTTGACGAATGTTTCTGTGGCAAATGCAGCGGTCGTAAACTGAACACTGTGATGGTTAAGTGAACCCAGTACTGGCTATGGGGCGTTTTTGCCCAAAATCCAAAATAATGCTGGTTCTGAGCAGACTAATTATAAAAGTCGAATCTGGGTTAGTTCCCCAGGGCCAGAGATTTAATCTTCCAAGCTTTTGGACCGTTCCTGAAGTCCATCTTCAGGGAACTTCTCTCTACTGGAATAGGTGCTCTGGGTTATTGCTGTGGGTCGTGTTTATGTGGACTTCAACTCCCAGAATTCCTGAGCCAGCGGTACTTGGAACATCTTATATTTTAAGGAGGTGCCTGGTTGACACCTAGGATGCTGGTCGCAACCCGTGTCAACCATCAGCGCCAGCCAATTTGAATGTTCAGTTGACTGAGGTTTATGTTTAATGAATAAAAGATTAATAATAATAATAATAGTAATAATAATAATGATGATGTAAGGAACCTTGGAGGTCATCTAGTCCAACCCCCTGCTCAGGCAGGAAACCCTATACCAGGGGTAGGCAACCTTGGCTCTTTTATGACTCGTGGACTTCAACTCCCAGAATTCCTGAGCCAGCCGTGCTGAGGGGAAAGGGAGAAGTTTCCAAGCTGAGCCACGCTGGCTCAGGAATTCTGGGAGTTGAAGTCCACGAGTCATAAAAGAGCCAAGGTTGCCAACCCCTGGTCTAGGAGGCTCACCGCTTAGAACAGGAGGACTTAGGACAGGAGTAGGCCACCTTGGCTCTTTTATGATTCGTGGACTTCAATTCCCAGAATTCCTGAGCCAGCCACGCTGAAGGGACAGGGAGAGCTTTCCAAGCTGAGCCAGGCTGGCTCAGGAATTCTGGGAGTTGAAGTCCACAAGTCATGAGGGGGCCACAGTTCCCCCATGCTGGCTCAAGAATTCTGGAAGTCCATGAGTCCTAAAAGAACCAAGGTTGCCTACCCCTGCCCTAGAATATCAGAGGTGGGGAACCATGGGCCCTTTAGGACTTGTGGACTTCAACTCCCAGAATTCCTGAGCCAGCCATGCTGAGGGGAAAGGGAGAGGTTTCCAAGCTGAGCCAGGCTGGCTGAGGAATTCTGGGAGTCCCTTCCAACTTTATTATTATTATTATTATTAACTGGAGTTTATTTTTCCTTGAAGACGTTTCGTTTTTCATCCAAGAAGCTTCTTCAGCCCTGACTGGAGAATGGGGAATGGAAGGATTGATATTCTAGAGCTGAAGAAGCTTCTTGGATGAGAAGTGAAATGTCTTCAAAAGAAAAACAAAAAAGTCCACTTGCCTCCCTGAAAAAGCACCTTTAGCACATGATCTGGTTGACTGAGAATATCCATAGATCAGAAATGAGGAGGGGATCAGCTGCCTGGGAAAGCCAAGGGAAATCATCAAAACAATTAAAAAAAAACAAAAATTAGAATATTTCGGACATGCGATGCGACACCCCAGAAAAATACAGCATACTCCATTTAATCCTCCAGAGAAAGACTGAAGGCAAACGAGGTCCAGGCAGAAGAAGAAGAACATCGTGGCTTCAAAATCTAAGGGACTGGTTTGGACAAAACTCAGCTGCTGATAAAAACATGATCGCCAACGTCCGATAACGGAAATGGCAGAAGAAGAAGAAGAAGAAGGAGAAGGAGAAGAAGGAGAAGGAGAAGGAGGGGAGGAGGAGGAGGAGGGGGGGAGGAGGAGGAGGGGGGGGAGGAGGAGGAGGAGGAGGGGGGGAGGAGGAGGAGGGGGAGGAGGAGGAGGAGGAGAAGAAGAAGAAGAGGAAGAGGAAAGAAGGAGAAGGAGGAGAAGAAGGAGAAGGAGGGGAGGAGGAGGAGGAGGAGGAGGAGAAGAAGAAGAGGAAGAGGAAAGAAGGAGAAGGAGAAGGAGAAGAAGGAGGAGAAGGAGGGGAAAAGGAGGAGGGGGGAGGAGGAGGAGGAGGAGAAGGAGAAGAAGAAGAGGAAGAGGAAGAGGAAAGAAGGAGAAGGAGGAGAAGGAGAAGGAGAAGGAGAAGAGAAGAAGAAGAAGAAGAAGAAGAAGAAGAAGAAGAAGAAGAAGAAGAAGAAGAAGAAGAAGAAGAAGAAGAAGGAGAAGGAGGAGGAGGAGAAGAAGAAGAAGAAGAAGAAGAAGAAGAAGAAGAAGAAGAAGAAGAAGAAGGAAGAAGAAGAAGAAGGGAAGAGGAGGAGGAGGAGGAGAAGAAGAAGAAGAAGAAGAAGAAGAAGAAGAAGAAGAAGAAGAAGAAGAAGAGAAGAAGGAAGAAGGAAAGGAGGAGGAGAAGAAGGAGAAGAAGAAGAAGAAGAAGAAGAAGAAGAAGAAGAGGAGAAGAAGAAGAAGAAGAAGAAGAAGAAGAAGAAGAAGGGGATCGTCGAGGATGGAAGGAGGCCGGCAAGACTAATAGCAAATTTGTCAAATTATTATTATTATTATTATTATTATTATTATTATTATTATTATTATTATTATTATTATTATTACCTGGAACCAACATTGTAGATGTTATACTGCAGAGTGAGATCTCGGCCCTCCACTGCATATCTGTTCAGCAAAGTCTTGGAGGCCAGAAGCCTGGCCCCTTCCTCACAGTGGATGGAAGAGAAGACCCCCAGAAAGGCAAGCAGCAGCAGCAGCTTCATCTGGAAGGAAGAACAACAACGAGGGGGTTTATTTTTGGAGAAAGCAGAAAAACACTGTCCACGTTTCAGCACTGAGACGTCCGTCATCTTATGGAGAAAGCGTTGGTCCATTTTAGCCACAGCAGGTGGCTGCAGCTTCAAGAATTGGCCAGGACTTAGATGGGAGACCACTCGGAAATCCCAGGGTGGAGGATACATTGGCAAATCCAAAACACATCCTGGAAGAACACAACTGCAATCCACTTCTCCATGACTGCCCAGAAAACTACAGGATACATCCATAGGATTAAGCTCAATTTAAAAGAGACCTTTGGAAAGCCAGTTTGGTGCATCAAGCTAGAAACGCTGAGTTCTAGTCCTGTCTTTGGCATTAAGCCAGCAGGGTGACCTTGGGCCAGTCACTTTCTCTCAGCCCTAGGAAAGAGGCAATGGCAAACTACCTCTGAAAAAAACCTGGCAAGCAAACTTTGGGGACTTGTCCAGGTAGGCTTTGAAAATTGGATTGAATGGAAGGAGGGAAATAAAAGAGATTTTACTTCTATACAGGCGTCAATTCTTAAACCATTCTTGGTTTAAACCAGTGGTTCTCCACCTGTGGGTCGGGACCCCATTTGGGGTCGAACGACCATTTCACGGGGGTCGCCAAACAACGGAGTCCGCCATTTTTCCCCCCTTTTCCTTAGCTGTGCTCCTCCTTTTTATTCTATTGGCTTTTGAAAGCCAATAGAACAGACTCTCTTGAATAGAGTCTAATTCTATTGGCTTTCCAAAGCCAATAGGAATTGTCCAGGCTGTCTCTGCCCTGCTGAGCCCGCCAAAAGTCCCATTCTGCAAACGGTGCTGCACCAGTTGAGTAGTCCTCAACTTACAACCGGTTGAGTAGTCCTCGACTTACGACTGGTTGGGGGTCGCGGCATTAAACAGATTGAGAACCACTGGTTTAAACCATCCTTGGCTGATGTCGGAAAGTCTAGATAGTGCTTGAATGAGAGACATTCATAAGATCTCAGAGCCTTAACTGGACTTGGAAATTGAAAAAAAAAACATCCTAGAAAAAATCACTCCATGCTCTTTATTACATACTCCAGGTAGTCCTCAACCTACGACCACAATTGAGCCCAACATTTTTGTTGTTAAGTGAGACATTTGTTAAGTTTTTTGACAACCTTTCTTGCCACAGCTGTGAAGTGAATCACTGCAGTTGATAAGTTAGTTAACAGTGTTGTGAAAGCAGTTAGTTGACTTTGCTTGACAGAAGGTCACAAAAGGAGAACGCGCGATCTTGAGACCCAGCAACGGTCACAAAGATGAACCAGCTGCCAAACATCTGAATTTTGATCACACGATCGTGAGGATGCTACGAAGTCTGCAACTGTGAAAAACGGTCCTAAGTCATGTTTTTTGGTGCTGTTGTAACTCTGAGCAGTCACGAAATGAACTATTGTAAGTTGAGGACTACCTATATTGCCCAGAAATTTCATTTGGAGGATCATCTGCCTTTATCCCATATAAAGACATGAAGGTTATCTTTAGGATGAAGAAAGAAGAAACCAGAAATAATGGAAGGAAATTAAAAGGAAAAGCTAATCAAAATGTATCACCTTCTGAATGGATGCTAAACCTTTCCCCTAAGACAGGGGTAGGCAACCTTGGCTCTTTTATGACTCGTGGACTTCAACTCCCAGAATTCCTGAGCTAACTCCTGGCTCAGGAATTCTGGGAGTTGAAGCCCACGAGTCATAAAAGAGCCAAGGTTGCCTACCCCTGTCCTAAGAAACTTTAAATAAACTGCATGAGATGAGCTGAAATTCTGCATGTGCAAAGCTTCTGAATAAAATACTTTCAAAAGAGAGACACATGTTTATAAAAGAAATATCCCCTGGTCTTTTTTAAAGTACTGTACTTCTTTTTTTAAAAAAAAAAATCAATGGCCATATTGTATTATCAGGTTTGCACGGTCCTCACGTTACTGAGTATATTCAATTAATTCACCCTTAATATTTTAATCAAATACTGCAATTTATTGAAGAAACATTACTGCCTTGCTAATGAAAGATTAAAATCTAGCAAAATGTTTCGGAGTCCCTGGTGGAGGCAAATTATTTTTAAAAAACATGGCAAAGAATCCAGCGATAATCAATCAGTGTTTTAACTTGAAAGCTTAACGTGAAAGTGGACTAAGGCAGAAGAAAAAGGCATTGCCAATTTTTTAAAAAAATAAAAATAAATCACACTGTCAGCTTCTGCCTTAACTTGCAATTATGTGCTGGAGACTTTTGGAAGGGAGATTAGCACTTAGCTTCTGGTTGGGGATGATGGGAACTGTAGTCCTATCCAACCAGAGGGTGCCTGGTATGCAAGGCAGGCGGGGGAGGCAAAGAAGGATAGTAGCATCTGGCTGGGGATGATAGGAACTGTAGCCCTACCCAAGCAGAAGGTGCCTGGTGTGCAAGGCAAGGGGGGGGGGGAAGAAGGGTAGCTCTTGGGGTAGCTTCTGGTTGGGGATGATGGGAACTGTAGCCCTACCCAACCAGAGGGTGCCTGGTGTGAAAGGCGGGAGGGAGGGAAATCAAAGGAGGGGAGTGTCTGGCTGGGGATAATAGGAACTGTAGCCTTACCCAAGCAGAAGGCGCCTGGTATGCAAGGCAAGCGGGGGGGGGGGAAGAATGGTAGCTCTTGGGGTAGCTTCTGGTTGGGGATGATGGGAACTGTAGCCCTAACCAACCAGAGAGCGCCTGGTGCTTAAGGCGGGGGGGGGAGAGAAGGAGGGTAGCTCTTGGGGTAACTTCTGGCTGGGGATGATGGGAACTGTAGCCCTACCCAACCAGAGGGTGCCTGGTGTGTAAGGGGGGGGGGCAAAGAAAGAGGGTAGCTCTTAGGGTAGCTTCTGGCTGGGGATGATGGGAACTGTAGCCCTACCCAACCAGAGGGTGCCTGCCTAGTGTGCAAGGCCGGGGACGGGAGAATCAAAGGAGGGGAGCGTCTGGCTGGGGGTGATGGGAACTGTAGTCCTACCCAACCTGTGCTGAGGCTGGCAACCAAGGAGAAAAGGTGGAACCGCGGGAAGGGCAATTTATGCAGCGCCCCCCCCCCCCACACACACACAGACACACACCATTTCCCCCGCTTGGACCCCCTTCCCATTTCCAAGACTTTCTTTGGGGAGGGGGGTGTCTTCTTCAGCAGAGACCCCCAGAAAGTTGCCCCCCCTCCCTAAACAGGGCCTGATTAGAATCTCCCCCCTCCCCGTAACGCCCCCTCCCCTCCCGGCAGCCCCCTCCCCATTAATGAGCCCCTGGACCGCGCAGCAGCCCCCTCCCACCTTCGCTCCGGCGGCTGCCAGCAGAACGGAAGAGGACGTCAGCGCTAGGCTGCTTCGGACGCGCGGCGCACGCCCCGCCCCCGGAGCATCACGTGCTTCCTGCCTTTGCCGCTGAGCTCCCTGGGAGTTGCAGTCTTCGGGCCCAGCCCCTTTTCCCCGCTTGCAAGCGAGGTCAGGACGGCGCCCCCCCACACCCCAATAAAGTCAAGGGCTTCTCCCCTTTGTAGATGCGTCTGGTTTTGAAAAGAAAGGTTACTTTCTCGAAACCTGCAGGCAAATTTGAAAGAAACCCCCCCCCCCAAACTGCGAAGAAGGAAAAAAAGTGAAAATCAAGAGGTAGCCCTCAAGTTAGGACCCCAAAATGTCTGTTGCTAAGTGAAACCTTTGTGGCGAGAATTTGCCCCATTATACGACCTTTCTTGCCACAGTTGCTAAGTGAATGAGTGCAATTGCTAAGTTAGCCACCCGGTTGCTAAGTGAATCCCGCTTCCCCATTGACTTTGCTTGTCAGAAGGCCACCAAAGGAGATCACATGATCAATTGGCTTTCATACCTAAAGCAGGACTAGAACTCAGCGTCTCCTGCTGATTGGCCCAAAGTCACCCAATTGGCTTTCATGCCTAAGGCAGGACTAGAACTCACCATCTCCTGCTGATTGGCCCAAAGTCACACAACTGGCTTTCATGCCTAAGGCAGAACTAGAACTCACCGTCTCCTGGTGATTAGCCCAGTCATCCAATTGGCTTTCATACCTAAAGCAGAACTAGAACTCACCATCTCCTGCTGATTGGCCCAAAGTCACACAACTAGCTTTCATGCCTAAGGCAGAACTAGAACTCACTGTCTCCTTGTGATTGGCTCAGTCATCCAATTGGCTTTCATACCTAAAGCAGGACTAGAACTCAGCGTCTCCTGCTGATTGGCCCAAAGTCACCCAATTAGCTTTCCTGCCTAAGGCAGAACTAGAACTCACCGTCCCCTGCTGATTGGCCCAAAGTCACCCAATTGGCTTTCATGCCTAAGGCAGAACTAGAACTCACTGTCTCCTGGTGATTAGCCCAAAAGTCACCCAATTGGCTTTCATGCCTAAAGCAGGACTAGAACTCACCGTCTCCTGCTGATTGGCCCAAAGTCACCCAACTGGCTTTCACGCCTAAGGTGGGATTAGAATTCACTCGCCTGGTTAACCCAACAGCAGCCAGTGCCTTTTGGATCAAAAGCGGATTTCTGTGAAGCAAAACATCCACAGGGCAAAAATATAACAAGCACTTTATTTGCATTGCACAGCTTCCGCTGCCTGTCAGTCTCATGGCACTAAATCTTGCATAGTGGGCACCGCCACGTGCTGGACAGCATCTGCCCAGGAGGCCCGCAGCTGCCCGCAGACGGCCTGCATTGAAGAGAGAGGCCCGGGAGCTTCCTGCTAGCTGCCGGGGTGCGGCAAGGAGGCCGAGTCCCTGGGGGGGTGCTGCTCCAGCTGGCCTCGGAGCTCTCCATTTTGCTGGTCCTGCTTGACGAGGAGGAGGTTGATGGACTCCCGGATGTCCTGCAGCAGCGCCAGTTGCTCCTGCGCGATCTGGGTCTGCACCTGCATGTTGTTGTGTAGACATTCCAGGAGCCCAAAGCATTCCTGCGGCTGGTGGTCCGGAGCTGGGAGAGAGAAGGTGGGGAGGGGGGCAGGGGAAGGGTAACCGGTCTCCGCCTCAGCAACAAATTCAGGGGAAGCTTTTCCAAAAAGTACATTATATATGGAGTGTATGTGTGTATATAAAACACTATATAGTGTTTTATTGTGTTTTACTACTCTAGGTGAAATCTTAATATATGTTGCTAGATATACGTGTGTACAACATCAGCAAGTATGGCAGGCCCCATTGGCAGGGCCATAAAGATTGGAAACATGCAGAAGAGGCCTTCATCCTGCAGTGGATAGACCATGACTAAAATATGATGATACGTGTGTACACACACACACACAAACAGTAAAATATAAAAGTTAAAAAAAACCTGTGTTCAAACAACTATGTGTAGGCCAGGGGTAGACAACCTCGGCTCTTTTATGACTCGTGGACTTCAACTCCCAGAATTCCTGAGCCAGCATGAGGGAACTATGGCTCCTTCATGACCCTGGACTTCAACTCCCAGAATTCCTGAGCCACCATGAGGGAACTATGGCTCCTTCATGACTTGTGGACTTCAACTCCCAGAATTCCTGAGCCAGCCACACTGAGGGGAAAGGGAGAGGTTTCCAAGCTGAGCCAGGCTGGCTCAGGATTTCTGGGAGTTGAAGTCCACGAGTCATAAAAGAGCCACAGTTGCCTACCCCTGCCCAAATGCCTGAATTTTGATCATGTGACCGTGAGGAAAAATATTTAAATATTTAAGTCAGGGGTCTTCAAACTTGGCTCTTTTATGACTCGTGGACTTCAACTCCCAGAATTCCTGAGCCAGCATGGCTCAGCTTGGAAACCTCTCCCTTTCCCCTCAGCACGGCTGGCTCAGGAATTCTGGGAGTTGGTCCACGAGTCATGAAGGAGCCAAGGTGGCCTACCCGTGGTCTAGGTCATCTAACTATTCAAGCCCAGAGGAAAGAAGCTACTTCACCTCCTCAGGGATAATGTGACAGTGTGAACTAAATGAACTAGCAACTGCCGGCAGCCAGAATACAGTTAGTCCTCGAATTACGACTACAATTGAGCCCAAAATTTCTGCTGCTAAGTGAAACATTGATTAGGTGAATTTTGCCCTATTTTACCACCTTCCTTGCCATAGTTATGTGAATCGCTGCCGCTGTTTAGTCATACGGTGGTTAAGTTAATCTGGCTCCCCCATTGACTTGGCTTCTCATAAAGTCGCAAAAGGGGGATCACGTGACCCCGGGACATTGCCACCGTCATAAATATGAGTTGTCAAGCATCTGAATTTTGATCACATGACCCTGGGGATGCTGCAACGTACGTGAAAAATGGTCGTAAGTCACTGCTTTTCAGTGTGACTGTAACTCTGAGCGATCACCAAACCAATGGTTGTAAATTGAGGACTACCGGTAGGTTTCTTATACAACGTTGGGCCCGAAGGGTCTGGTTACCACTGTGTTCGGTCTTCCAGGGTTTCAGCTACCCACAGACACACGCCGGAGGATCCTTACCGAAATGTCGCTTTCCTTTCCCCGTCCGTGAGGCCTGGGGATGTGGCAGGACCGGACTGGGTCTCCACTGAGTTGAGGGCAGTTCAAGAAAACTGGGGGAGGGCTTAGCAGGACATAGAGGCTTGAACGATGTGGCTGGAGGGCCGTCAAGGTCTTCTGTTCAGAGAGAGAGAAGAATAAATTCAGATTAAGAGTGATCCAGCTAAGGACCAGGAATTCCCTGGCTAGAGAAAAGATGTGCTAAACCAGGATACCCGGGTCAAAAGCCAGCAACCCAAACTTCTCAACTGTAATTCTGTTGCAAAACACCTGGTGTTAATCAATGCTCTTCAACACGGGTAGCCGTTGACTTACAACCGGAATAGACCCCAAAATTCCCATCGTATGTCATGTCAGTCCTATGTTGAGGCACTATGTTCGTGTCAATTTTGGGACACGCGGTTAAGTGAATGCAGCGGTCGTTCAGCGAACCCCCTTGTTCACAAAGGGTGAGGCTTTTTTTCGCCAGAAACTAGAAGTAAATGCAAAGTAAATCCCACTGCAAAGCCACAGTTGTGTGATGCTGCAAACAGCTTTAAAGGCGGGCTGGTTGGTGAGCCCCCCAATATGCACTCAGTAATTGTGGGGTGGGGGTGGCTATTAGAACTTCAAATCTTGATTATAAGCACCTTTTGGGGGGAGGATGTTTCCATCATAACGTGGAAGAGTTGCTAAGTGACCGCTTGTAAATTGAGGATGACATGTGCAACCTGGCTTGGTGGTGGTTTTAACTAAAAGCTAACAAAACTGGAGGCCCTTAAGGCTGTCAGCTGATATACATAGGCAGTCCTTGACTTATGACCACGCCTGAGCCCAAAGCAAGACAGTTGCTAAGTGGATTTTACAACCATTTTACGACCTTTCTTACCACAGCTGTTAAGAGAATCACTGCAGTTTTTAAGTTAGTAAACAGCAAATCCGGTTTTTCCCGACTGACTTGGCTTGTCAGGTGGTCATCAAAAGGGGATCACGTGACCCCCCCCCACGGGACACTGCGACCATCATAAATATGAGTCAGTTGCCAAGCCTCTGAATTTTGATCACCTGACCATGGAGATACCGCAACGGTTGTTAAGTGTGAAAAACGGTCATAAGTTATTTTTTCCCAGTGCTGTTGCGACTTTGAACGGTCACTGAATGAACTGTTGTAAGTCGAGGACTGCCTGTACATTTTCCTGGCAGAAATACCCAGGCCTAAAAAAAAAAAAAAACTTTCTTAGGTGTCACATCACAGTTCCACTGGCACTGAGAGCGGCCCGTTGTGTTGAGTTGCGCTTTGCGGTTGTGCCTCTAACAGCGGCTGGATCTGCAGCAGAGAGAAGCCGTCTCTGGGCCCTGGGCCACATGACAGGCGAAACGGGCAGCATACAAATTAAACAAACGTTAGAATGAATTAATAAAACGAGAAGCCCGGCTACCAATTCCTGCTGGGACCATCGGAGAAAAGCTGGAATTCTCCAGAGCCAAAGCAGCTTTCGGTTGCAAATCGAACAAAAGTTTTAAACACCTACGTGGGGCTTGTGAAGATCTTCTTGGAGTACCTGGAAATGAACAGTAATTGTTGTTGGTGCCTGCACGGCTCTTCTCACTAAGTGTCAACCATCCCATTGGTAAATGCAGCAAAAGAAACTCCCAGGACACGGGTCGGCAACCTGCGGCTCTAGAGCCGCATGCGGCTCTTTGAGCCTTCTCCTGCGGTTCCCAGCCTCCTCTGCCATTTGCAGAGAGAGAGAGAGAGACAGAGAGAGGCATTTGCGCTTCTCTCTCTCCCTCCCTCCCTCCCTCTCTCTCTCTCTCTCTCTCTCTCTCTCCCTCTCTCCGTGTGTGTGTGTGTGTAAAAAGAGTGGTCTCATGCTGTTTTCCGACGAGCTGACAAGCTTATTGGGTGGGGCTCCTGCCTTGGCTGCGTCTCTGCCGGAAGCCGGAAGCAGGAAGGGCAGGAGAGAGCCATCCCAATAAGATGTGTGTCAGCTTGTTGGAGAACAGCTTGAAGCCAGCTTGCCAGGTGAGCAGAAGATTGGAGAGAGGGAGAGGGGGGGGAGAGAGAGAAAGAGAGAGAGAGAAAGTAGGAAAGAAAGAGAGAGAGAGAGAACTCATGCACAGCAGCCTCTATTTCTTTTTAATTAAATTCTTCAATCAAGCTCCTCCCCCCCTCGTGCACGTGCGCACACATTTTGCAGCTCCCAGTGGTTTTTTTTTTCCTGGGACACGGGTCCAAGTGGCTCTTTGAGTGTTTAAAGTTGCAGATCCCTGTCCCAGGACATTATTTTACCAAGGGTATAACTTTACTGATAATTCCACATAGGCACAGAAGTAGCAAAGCCAGTTCTAAAGTCTGTGTGCGAAAACCAGCATAGGTCAAATCCCCTTTTTCGCCCAGACCTCCCCACACTTCATTATCCACCAGTTAGTTGTATTCATTTTGTTTTGAGAGCATTCCCTACAGCTCAGACCTTTCCCAGCATTTGACCTTGGGGTGTTGGGACCGTCCCAGGCTACCGTTGGCTCACTTGCATTCCTCAATTCCCTCCCAAATCTCCCTTACATTCCAATATTTTCCCTCCCCCCCCAGCCAAAAACCAGAGTTCACCATGCACAGCTGAGTGTAGACATCATGCTAAGCCGTAATCAGAGACCTTAGTCCCAAAGGTGCGTTTTTTCACAAGGCAACTGGACTTTGTTTGAAGACGTTTTGCTTCTCATTCAAGAAGCTTCTTCAGTTCTGACTGAATGGTGGAGGATTTGTATTCCCTGCAGTCATCTGGTCATTTGCACTCTTTCTGAGTGTCGTTGAAGTCACCTGGAGGTTCATCTGCGCCCACAGGGTTACCTGAATAATGCAAATGGGTGTGGGACCTTTTTGGAAGTGCTGAAAGGACTGCGTTGTAAACACAATGAACACACTGAAACTCCTTTCAGCAGTTCCAAGAAGGCTCCACACCCATTTGCACCACTCAGGTGACCCTGAGGACACAGATAAACCTCCAAGTGGCCTCAACAACTCTCAGAGGGAGTACTAACGATCAGATGACTGCAAAGAATATAAGTCCTTCCATCCCCCACCCTCCAGTCAGAACTGAAGAAGCTTCTTGGATGAGAAACCAAATATCTTCAAAGAAAAACAAAGCTTTTGGGGGGGGGGAAACATCTTTGGGACAACCAGGACTTGGTTAACCGAGAACCTCCATGGATATTCAGAACTTGGAATACGGCATCCAGTTTTGGTCACCATGATGCAAAAAAGATGTTGAGACTCTAAGAAAGAGTACAGAGAAGAGCAACAAAGATGATTAGGGGACTGGAGGCTAAAACATATAAGGAACAGCTGCTGTTTAATGAAGAGAAGGACGAGGGGGGACATGATAGCAGTGTTCCAATATCTCAAGGGCTGCCCCAAAGAAGAGGCAGTCAAGCTATTCTCCAAAGCGCCTGAAGGCAGGACAAGAAGCAACAGGTGGAAACCAATCAAGGAGAGAAGCAATCTAGAATTAAAGAGAAATGTCCTGACAGTGAGAACAATTAACCAGTGGAACAGCCTGTCTCCAGAAGTGGTGAATGCTCCAATATTGGAAGTTTTTAAGAAGAGACTGGATAGCCATTTGTCTGAAATGGTATAGGGTTTCCTGCCTGAGCAGGGGGTTGGACTGGATGACCTCCAAGGTCCCTTCCAACTTTATTATTATTATTATTATTATTATTATTATTATTATTATTATTATTATACAGACTCAATTCAAAAAAGAAGAGAGATTTACTGGATCTAGTATGTTAAACTCAGACACTGTGCCTGGAAGCCAAGCTTTATGGCATAGCTGATGTAGTAATCTAGCCACTGGCTTCCTCAACAATGGGTATGGCTAAAATAAACCTGGTTAGGGTGACATGGGAGCTAAGCCACTGAGAAAGCTATAAAGCTTCTCATCTGCAGCCTTCTCCATCTCCAACCCCGTGCCCTACAGCAATGTGGCACTTTGCTTCTTCTCCATCTCCACTCACCTGGTTGGGGAGCGTGGGAATTGAAGTCCAAGGCCTTCAGAGGAGTGTCTTGAATGGAAGATAAGCCACGTGATCTGCTGACCTATCCACTACTGGGGTGCATCATTTACCTGGACAACTTCCTTTGTTTAAGCATTTGCTTACAGGGAAGAGGGTCAAGGGGGTGGGGGCACCTACTTTTCCGATGCTGCTTCTCCTCTTGGGGATTTAAGTCTGGCTCCATCTGAATGGGACTGGAACTCATGCCTAGAAAAAGAGAGATGAAGGGAAATGTGATTATAGATTTAAATATTGTTGGAAACTGGTAAAAAAATAAGGGATTAATTGGCTTAATATTTAGGATTTAGATTCATAAGGGAAATGAAAATTAACTGTTAGGAACTAGCTTCGAATTATTGTTTAGCCCAGATAATACAGATGACGGATTTGAGACAATAAAGGACACTCTATTAGTAAGTGGTGATGTACCAGGATGAGAAATAGAAAATACTTATGAAATAAATTAAGAATATATTTAAGTAAATAATATGTGTATCTTAGATATTATAACTTTTATGTAGTGAAATAAAGGAAATTTGGGTTACGCGAAGCTTAAATACTATGGATGTTAAAGGTTAAATTGGAATACTGTAATTGAAAATTAAAAATTAGGTAAAACTTAAAAACAGGATACGGATATGTATAAGCAAAAAATATATTGACAAATGTCTCAATTGAGCTTGTTAGAATTAGACATGTATTTGCTTAAATATGATATAGCAAATCTTAAGGGAAATAGAGAAGGAAGTTTTGATGATGTAACCTGAGATATGTACTAAAGACTTTGTTAGTGCATTATTGACTACCCAATCACCACGCTGCTTTCCAAATACTTAAACGTAAAACTGGAAAACCAATAAAATGTGTTATACAAAAAAAGAAAAAAAGAAAAAGGGAGAGCCATCCAATGAAGATACACGTAGAACATAGAATAATAGAGTTGGAAGGGACCTTGGAGATCTTCTAGCCCAACCCCCTGCTCAAGAAAGAGACCCTATACCAGGGGTAGGCAACCTTGGCTCTTTTATGACTCGTGGACTTCAACTCCCAGAATTCCTGAGCCAGCACTGGCTCAGGAATTCTGGGAGTTGGAAGTCCACGAGTCATAAAAGAGCCAAGGTTGCCTACCCCTGCCCTATACTATTTCAGATAAATGATTGTCCAGTCTCTTTTTAAAAGCGTCCAGGGATGGAGCATCCACAACTTCTGGAGGGAAACCGTTCCACCGATGGACTGTTCTCGCTGTCAGCAAATACCTCCTTAGTTATAGGTTGCTTCTCTCCTTGGTAAATTCCCTTCCATTGTTTCTTGTCTTGCCTTCTGATGCTTTGGAAAATAGATTGACCCCCTCATCTTTGTAGGAGCCCCTCAAATATTGGAATGCTGCTATCATGTCATCCCTAGTCCTTCTTTTCATTAAAGACAAACCCAATTCTTGCAACCATTCTTCGTATACTTTTGTCTCCAGGCCTTTAATCATCTTAGTTGCTCTTCTCTGCACTCTTTCCAGAGTCTCAAAACACTTTTTTTTATATTGTTATGTATATTTTTTATACTATATACTATAAAGGGGCAGGAAACAGCAGCAGCAGGCTTTGTGGGAGGGCAGGAAAAAAGAACACCCAAACCCAGACCATAGGTTCACCACCACTGATATAGGACAGGGGTCTTCAAACCTGGCCCTTTTATGAGTTGTGGACTTCAACTCCCAGAATTCCTCAGCCAGGGTGCTGGGGAAATCTGGGAGTCGAAGTCCACAAGCTTAAAAGTTGCTGAAGCTGAGAAACACTGTATTAGAGTTGAAATTGACACCATAAATTGCACATGCAGTAACCTACCAAAAAATAAACAAACTTAATCTGGGTTTTTCCCAGCGCGCAGACGCCCGCTATCTGTTCTGCCCTTTTAGATCATAGAGCACGTGTCAGAACAGGGAGCGGACTACAACTCCCGTCATGCCTCACTGCACGAAGGGAGGGGCCAGGCCTCTGTGACTCGGCTCGATGGCCAGACCGTAATTCCCACGATATTCCCGCGGTGAAAGACAAGACAAATGTCGTCTCTGGGCTTAGGCGAGGCAGAGGGTCCCTCTCTTTTGGAGGTCTCCCCCAAACTCGCCTCTGGGCTGCGGCCGGCCGGGGACGAAGCGCTGCGGGCCCTGCAGCGACCGCCGCCGAGCAGGCCTCATCCACCTAACCGCTGACGACCGCTTGTGCGCACGCGCGCTTGCCTCCCCTGCCCTTCAACGTTCCACCCCCCGCGCCGACGACGCGACGGGGAGAGCTGCGCATGCGTGCGGCCTTCCTCCCCGCGGCGCCCAGCCCGAGCATGCTTGCCTAAGGAGGAGGAAGAGGCGGAGAACAATCCGTTTGTCCTCTCAACGCATCTTGCTGTCGGGCGAGTGGGCGGGGTCTCTGGAAAGCAGACGCGCCTTCATTGGCCATCCTGAAGACACCGGCGTTGCGGATTGGAGGAGCCTCCGTCACAGGCAGGCTAGGTTTAAGACGAGTGGGCGGAGCCTCAGGAAAGCAGACGCGCCTTCATTGGCCGTCCTGAAGGCACCGGCGTTGCGGATTGGAGGAGCCTCCGCCACAGGCAGGCTAGGTTGTCCGAGCGCGGTGAAACGGCCTTTTTTTTTTTCCCCCCCTCCGAGCTCTTTTTTTTTGTCCGCCTCCAGAAGGTTCCTCGCCGGCTTCTGCCTCGCCTGGTCGGGAAGATGCTGGGCCAGCGCCCCGTCCTCGTTCTCAGTGAGTCTGAGGGGAGGTGGGCTGGGGAGGGGAAGAGATACAAGTCATTTGAATATTGGAGCATGAGGCTGTTTTTTTTCTCTTTTCATCTTAGGTCAAAACACAAAACGTGAGTCTGGAAGAAAAGTCCAGACTGGAAATATTAATGCTGCTAAGGTATGGATTTCAGGAAAACGTATGGGAGAGAAATAGAGTGGGTTCATTCGCCATCAAGGTTCCACAGAGTATGGGAGCTTGGTGGAGGATATATGCTTTTTTTACTGTTCTAAAACTGTGTCTGTAGAGAAAATCCAGCTTTAGATCTTGGATATTCTAGTATAATGGATGTAGGGTGAGTTTGGCAAAAAATAATGTAATAGATGTATATATAATATGCATAATATAATAGATATATACATAATTGTGTATAATATGCAAAATTATGTATAATATACATAATATAATAGATATGATATAATAGATGTAATATAATAGATGTAGGATGAGTTTGGCAAAAAATAATGTAATAGATGTATATATAATATGCATAATATAATATATACATAATTATGTATAATATGCAAAATTATGTATAATATACATAATATAATAGATATGATATAATAGATGTAATATAATAGATGTAGGATGAGTTTGGCAAAAAATAATATAATAGATGTATATATAATAAACATAATATAATAGATATATACATAATTATGTATAATATACAAAATTGTGTATAATATACATAATATAATAGATGTAATATAATAGATGTAGGATGAGTTTGGCAAAAAAAAAAAAGCTGCTACCTTTGTCAACTGAGACGTTTAGAGAGGCTCTTTAATAAAATGTGTCACGTTTTTCTAAGCATTGTACAGACATTAAAATAGAGGGCAGCGTAAGGACCCACCCCACTTTACATCTTAAGAAGACAGAACTCTTGGAATAGTTCTTCCAACAGGAATCCTTTATTAAGAGAAAATGGTTGCAGGCGTGCTAGACAGGACCTGGGGCCCAAGCCCTATGGTTCAAGGTTTTAAGGGGTCCACAGCAGCCCCACCATCCTTCCAGTGACAATCCCAAGTGTTACATTTCCACCCCCTTTTTCCTCACTGCCCTTGGAAGGGAGACTTCAGAGAGGAGTAGATGAAAGGCAATGGCCATATTGTTATGGTCAGTCCTCTTGGTGAGATCCACATTCAGTCCCTTTGAAGTTGTACCGAAGGGCCATAAAAACCCCCTGTTCACCCCCCTTCCCCTTCATCGAATGACAGAATCCAGAGAGGGAAGAAATGGGGTTTTCCATAGTCGATAACTAGAGATGAAATATAATTGGATTCTGACAAGCAGTTTGCAGCTTCCATGTTCACAGTTAAATAAACATAATATTCTTCTCATTTTAGACTATTGCTGATATTATCAGAACCTGCTTAGGACCAAGGGCAATGATGAAGGTGAGGATTACTTTTTTTTTTTTTTTGCTCATTGCTTCATTTCCAGGGAAATCTTTTAAGACCAGCATTTCCATTGCTAAGCAAGACAGTTCAGTTGTCAAAGCAAGAACATCAAAGTTCTTTTGAAGAGATTCATCTGTCAGAACCGTGACATAAGTGAGCTACAACTGATCTTATAACTTTATCTGCAGTGACTGATCTTATAACTTTATCTGCAGTGGTTGTTAAGTGAATCAGTGCAGTTAAGGGTATCTCGTTGTTAAGGGAATCTGGCTTACCCCACTGACTTTGCTTGTCAGAAGCCAGCTGGAAAGGTTGCCAATGGCAATCACATGATCCCGGGATGTTGCCATCTTAGTAAATGCATTTGTTCGAATTTTGATCATGTGACTGGGGATGCTGCAAGGGTGTGAGGACCAGCCATATTATTTTTTTTCAGTGCTGTTGTAACTTTTAATGGCCACTCAATGAAATGGTTGTAAGGCAAGGACTACCTGTAATTTACAAGAGATGCCCTGCATAAACGTGTGTTGCGTTTTGTGGATACTAACAAGAGTTTCCTGAATCTTCCATGCAGATGTTGTTGGATCCAATGGGTGGAATCGTCATGACAAATGATGGCAATGCTATTCTTAGAGAAGTAAGTCATTTTAGTAGCAACATCCAGTGCTTGTCCACAAGGCAGGCCTAATTTGAAATGTGGTTTTCCAATAGTTCATGACAGAATTTTAGCTAAAGATGAGGGTGAGAATATTATCTTGCCAAGATGTCCCAGAAGTTCATTTTTCTTGAATGGCTAAAATGAGTATACTTTCTAGAATCTAGATGCAGCAATAGGTATGAAGCACAAATTGTAAGCTCCAGATGCCGTTTCTCTCATTTGCCTTGCATTCTACTCTTATGTTGCTGGTTGAGAGTTTAAGTTCACATATCTTCAAGTGGCCAAGGTTGAGAAACGTTGCCTCCAGAATGTTAACTCTTTGCATCCATCCCTCATTCCCTCCCTCCTTTCTCACAGATTCAAGTACAGCATCCAGCTGCTAAATCCATGATAGAAATCAGCCGTACTCAGGATGAAGAAGTGGGTGATGGGACTACATCTGTGATTATTCTCGGTAGGATGTGGGATTGTGGATAAGAAATATGCAAGTACATTAGATCACAAGGGGAACTTGGGGTGTTGTATCAGGCCACATAAGGTCAATTTATTGAGATATATTTAGTACTATTAAAGAACCTAAAGAGGAAGATTTCAGCATGACAAGTGAGCAAAATCCATTTGCTTCCCAGTGGAATGTCTTGTCCGAAATGGGTTTCCTGCCTGAGCAGGGGGTTGGACCAGATGACCTCCAAGGTCCCTTTCAACTTTATTACTACTACTACTACTAAATGTTAATTTGTGTTAAACTGCTGTTTGGCATCCCTAAATACTACTCTTCCCTGGTCCCACTCTCAGCTAATAAACCCCACTGTGTGCCTATAAGCCAATCATTTAGCCCAACTATGGAGAGCATTTTTTTTTAAGAAAAAACACTATTTAAGCCATCTTGAGCTTCTAAATGGAAAATAGGATAGAAATGAAATAAGTTCCGAAGTGGAAACCGAGCCTTTTAATACACTTAGAATTGGAAAGATTAAGAAAGGATAATTATCAGTTAGCTTTGTGTAGGGCATCTGTTCTCTGTTAAAACTTTGTTGAGTGCCTCCCTCTTAGTCATCTGATAAGTGAGCAAGTGGTAGATAGTATCCTAAAGGCCCTGCAAGGCCCTATCAACTTCGCATATCTTCCCATAACCTATTCGCAACACTAAATACATCTTCTGTTGGCATATGGAATTCTAAAACGTTGATATTAGTACGGGCATTTTCATTGGGGGTGAAACACTTCAGTGCAGTGTTTCTCAAGGTTGACCCTTTTAAGGCCTGTGGACTTCGATTCCCTTCAGTTGAACTGGCTGGGGAATTCTGGGAGTTGAAGTCCATGTGTCTTAACATAATCTAGCCTGAGAAACGGTAGTGCTTCTGTTGCTTCCAGTAAACGTCACGGTGATCATGGTCTCCTCTTCTCCCTCAGCTGGAGAAATGTTATCAGTGGCAGAACATTTCCTAGAGCAGCAGATGCACCCCACGGTGATCATTAGCGCCTATCGAAAGGCCCTGGACGACATGATCAGTGCGCTAAAAAAAATCAGGTGAGCAGAAGGGGGGGGGGACTATGAGGAGGAAATGTGGAGGATGCAGAAAAATTGGGGATGTATTTCTGAGCATTTGAAGGAACGGCGGTAGGGAGAAAGTGCCGCGTGTTGATGCATTATGACTACGGGTAGTCCTTGACTTACAACCGTTCATTTAGTGACCGTTCAAAGTTACAGCATCGCTGAAAAAAAGTGACACGATCATTTTTCACACTTAACGACAGTTGCAGCCTCCCTATGGTCACGTGATCAAAATTCAGATTAGCTTGTCCTTTAACCTGGTTTCCTCTGGATTGGATGAACTACCTTGACCATTATTTCTGAACATCCTGTATTAGGTGGAGTTGAGTTAGCAACCCTGGTGCACGCCAGGGGTAGGTATAGATTTCCTGTGAAGCTAGATTGGCCAGTTGCTCAGCTCAGTTGCTAGACTCCCTCCAAAAGATGTTTGTGACCGAATTTTGAAGTTCTGATAACTGAACATACACACATGCACCATGACCATGTGATTGCATTTGGGCTGCTTGACAGCCAGCTCACCTTTACAGCTGTCTGCAGCATCTCATGGTCACCTGACTGTGATTTTTGACTTTTTTTTTGCCAGCGTTTACTTCCAATTTCATGCAAAAAAATCCACCCATTAGATGAAATGGATTTGGTTAATGACCACTTAGCTTAACAGCTGCTGCAAAGAAGATCATAAAAATCAGAGCTTTTCAACTTTTTCACCCATTGTACCACTTTTGGGATATAGCAACATCCGAGTACCACCAGTCGCCTAGCAAGGGATCAAAAACTTGATGACCACCCCCCCCCCAAAAAAAGGAAAAAAAGTGATAAAGTACAGGTAGTCCTCGACTTACAACAGTTTGCTTAGTGACCGTTTGAAGTTACA